ACGCCTCCTCATTGATGGAGGTTCAGATACCTCCTATGTCAGAGATTCTCTGGCCAAGGAGCTGGGACTCCCTGTAACAGGTACGGGCATGTTTGCCTGTTCCGGCTTCCAGGAACGGACGGAAGCAGCTAGACCGTATGATCAGGTACAAGTGACGCTCCGAAGTCGGTTCGGTGGCGATCCCGTGACGCTGAAGATGTGGAGCACAGAGTTGCTGTGCTCACCCCTCCCAGCCACCTCACCACCCACTTGGCCTTCCGGACTGCCGGATTTGATGGCCGACGATTTTGACGGTGGGGAGGTGGATCTCCTAATCGGCATCGATTATTTGTATCGTGTCGTGTTGTGGAGGCAGATTGAGATCGGAGAGGGTCTGCGGGCCATAGACACGGTCTTTGGCTACGCGCTTCACGGGTACCACGGCAATGATTCGCTGAATCAGCCCGGTCACCAGAATTCCCACTGTCGTCAGCTGAGACAGGTGAGAAGTCTGGCTGAAATGAAGGTCGGCCAAAATGAGGCCATTGATGTGGAAGGTGACGTACCGCCTGAACCACACAGGAACGAGCCAGAGGGCCGTCCCAAGGTGACGATTATGACCTTGAAGTCGGATGAACTCTCACCATCCGATCATGGTTCCGTTAAGGCGCGAACCTTGCCCATGCCAGATCTGCTCAATGCAGAAAAGTCTCCCCTGAGCGGTGAGCAGCATAAAACATTGACAAATAAAGACGGGGAGATGACTCTCTCCGCCAGGGGGACAAATGATGACCCAAAGCACAAAGGCGAGGATGGAGCCGGGCTGTCGCCGGGCAAACGCGACTTCTGGGCTGTGGCCCGGAGTCTAAAGCCCTCCTCGTCTCTCCATGGGGAGACCGCCCCGTCATCTGCCAATGCTGCAGTGGGCCGCAGCCAATGGTGTGCTGAAGCACCCCGGCGGCCCCGGCGGTGCCCGTCAACGCCGAAACTGGGAGGCTGCCGGCAGCCATCTCCGAAAAGACGACGTCTTCGGAGCCGCTGGAGGAGCCACGGCCCAAGACAGAGGTGGAGCCTGAGCTGGAGGACGCCTGCACCACCGGCAGCACCGCATCACTTCCCAGCGTTCCCACGCCTGTGGAAGAGGAGGAAGAAGAGGACGCAGCCGATGACGCTGGCCTCCGGTCCAGGAGCCCAGGGTCAGCTGCGGGAGGACTGACGAGGCCCGCAACGACAGCCGCAACCAAGTTCGCGTGCGGCCAGTGAAGTGAAGTGTGCCTGCATGTAAATGTGTGCGCGTTTTTGTTGAAAATGTGTTAACTTTAGAGTTCCCACATTTTGGTGGGGAGAAATGTTAGTATTTGTTACATCTTTACGGCCGCCGGGCCGTCCGGCTGGCCGCCGCTGCTGCAGCGAGCAGCGCTGCGGCGCAGTCTACCCGGCGGGCGCTCGGCCGCGCCGCGCGGCGCAGTCGCTGATTGGTGACCCGTGGATCACGTGACTGGCGGTGATGTGGGGCCGGTGCCGCGGCGGCAGCGCACTCTCGCAGGAGATTCGGGCGGAACCGGAGCGTTGTCCATGTGGTGTGGCTCTCGGAGTCGGACTGATGTGCCGGCTTTGTCAGCTCGCTCCGTGGTGACGTGTTCGGCGTAATTTGTTGCACGCTGTTGAGAATGGGACTGCTGTCCTGTTTGAAGCCCACCAACTAAATTGCGCCGAACAGCCAAAATCTTAAGAGGTGGGACTGCAGTCCTACCTCTAACATGATCCTCTTTTGGCTACCGGAATTTAATTTACATGTTTGCGGCAATTAACTCGTACCCATGGCCTCACCGTGGTTTCAAGGAGGCAATTTACGGGTAGCGACTGCGCTCATGTTGCATTCGAGTCACGTTGTAATATCAAGTCATTGCATTGCACAGTTTTGTTTGTCTGTTTGATTGACTTATCGTGGCAATAAGACGTGAGGAGCCAAATCCACAGTCTTTTGGTTAGATTTGATTTGGACAAAGGCCAGAGGCGAGAGGGGAATCGAACAGTCGGGCTGAGTTCCTGACATGCATAGGGCATGGTGACGTCATAAGTATTTTCGTGAATTAGAGGCATTTGTGAACATCGCATGTGAAAACAAATAGCACCACTAGATTCCTGGGACAAAGCTCGTCTAGAAAAATGCATTTTTATGTCAAAAATAAAAAGTTGAAAAATTGACTTTTTTTCTTAGCCCTCGTTCAGTTACGTATGGTATAAACGATTTTTTATGCTTTCAATGCACACTTATCACCAGCACAGTGACTTGGGGTCACATATAACCATTACCATCGGATTAAGAGTGAAAAATAAGCCATAAAACATGTGTCGCACACCCATGTAGCAGAATGTGAAAACCGTGACCTTTCGTGACCTGACCTGACCTTGACCCGTACTTGTATGACCCCTATACGCACATGGTACCTTCACTAGGCCTTTGAGGTCATTTTGGTGAGTTTCGAGCAGCAGCTATCGATTCCGCTGTCCGTAAGCCTAATCATGCAAAACCCCTGAATTTGACCTTTGACCTGACCTTGACCCGAAAGTTGACCTCAATCTTGAAATCTTAAGAGTGCTTTGGGAAGGTCTCGTAGAGACCTTTCGAACGCCGCCTCGCGGAGCTCGATACGACCATTGGTTCTCGAGATAACAGGGGGGGGGGGGTCGGATCCGACCCCCCCCCCCCAGGCTGTCGTGGGTACGGAAATAGCCCAGGCGGTGCCGGGTTAAGGACTTTTCGTACCTTCTGGGGAGAGATATAAGACCGATGATTGTTTTCAGTATAATCAGTTTTAACCATTAAAACCATTGTTTTGGTATTGAGTCGGAACGGAGCACAAGCACATACATTGTGTGTTATCCAGTGAAATCATTGGATCCAGAGAATCATCCTGTTGATGGGGACACATCCATCTTTCAAGTCCTAATAACAAGGAAGTTGCAATGTCTAGAAGTAAAGACGATTCACCTACGCTACATCAAACTATGCCTAACTTGACGACTAAGCATCAATTAGCGGCGTCTGAAGCGCCCTGCTTCCCGCTGGATAAGATACAAGGCATCATTTATAGTTCCTGAGAACACTCAGTAACAAAGTGAGCTCAATGGCTCTGGACAGCAAACTCTGAACAATTCAGCATTAATCGGTACAAGTGCAGGTTCTGAATAATGGTTGATGCTGGACTTTTCCCACTGCCAACCTCAGCGTCCAGAATTGACGAATTCTTCGTTTTTTTTTTCTCGAATAAAAACAATTTTTATACGAAACAGCCTTTTAACGTCACAGAAACGCGCAAGAACGCAAAGTCCAAACAATAAACAATGCAACAGGATTATAGGATTTTTACTACTGACCAATTATCACTTTAGACCCACGCTAGTTCATTCGATCGATGCTGTTTCACGCTTCGGTTAGTAGCTGTCACCTTACCGATCGCTGCTCACTTTCGAGGCATAGGTGTGTGTAACCCTTGGGACCAGTCAAGGGTTTGAAAGTTTGACCGTAAATTTTACGCTGGGCAAACTTTTGACACATCTATAGGCCAAAATAGATGGAACGAGGAACATCTGGATGAGAGAACTAAAACAGGTCATTTCACGTCCTGGGACACCGTCACCACCATGCAAATAGCAAAATCTAATCTCCATAGAGATCAAATTGAAATTGGATGTGGAAAAATACCCGCAAACAAATTTTCACTTGGTTGTGTTTCGTCATTTGCACTTCATCAAGAAATGCGGAGCCATACCAAAAAGTAAGGAAAACAGGGGTTGACTTCTTAAGAAGTAGTTATCGGCATACATGTAATGTTGATTTTATCAACGGGATAAGACCAGGGCGACAATCTTTCAACCAAGAAGCATTCATTGATCATCACAAAGCTAGTACGATTTGGAACGGGCGTGAGCACTATGGAAGCGTTTCAAGCTAGCGACGGGAAACATACTGTTGAGTCGATTAAATTTTGTTCATGGCCTTTTATCCATAATTAGTAGACCAGTGTCAGTGCACGAATTGATAGCAGACTGTGTCAGAGCAGTTCCGTCTTTACTTGACATATGCCGCGGGAGGTGTGAAAGGACTCTCTAGGGCACCAAAAAAGCAGAGCCCCTGAGTACCCGGTGAATGAAAAGCACTTACAAGGCACTTTGCACGGCTGTATAAAGCGAAGTGTCGGGGAGTGGTTCGGTGAGCGATACCGCTTTGATGCTTGTCGCCAAAGCGGCGGTGCAGTGACTGATCGGGCAGGTCGCGTGCGTCGTGTGTGCGTTCATTTCAACACCAGCACTGCATCTTTCTAGTTGAAATTACATTTACGAACGCATAAGTCGGCATCACATGTTTTTCAGGGGACTAGTGACAGGCACCTTGTTTATCGCAGAAAAAAAACTGTTCAATAGCAGCCGTACCTGAAGGAGACCTACTAACTCTATGATGCCTGGGTCTGCATAGCTCCATGCTTCTCAATAAGCGTTACATCGTAACCAGCAATCAGTTAAATGCGGTGCTTGGTGGATGTCAGCTGTGAAAAATGCATAAAAAAAGCCCTAACCTCCAACAGCTGGTCCTCGATACCAGTTCACTGATCAAAGGGCTCGCAACGAAAGGCAGTTCTCAAATTCACGCATTGCTATTTCACACAACTTTGCAGAGGCTAATAACCTGTATTGATGTAGGTCCTTACTAACTACTATTCATAATAATTGGTTAGGCCCAGTCAGTACCAATTTACTTATACTCAGCAGTGAACATGAATTCCTTCTGCATACCTTTTTCCAAAGTTCATATCCTTGTTCGAAATAGCCAGTAGCCTTGCCCTAGTAGTGGAAGCAGGTTACACACAGGCACAGGTTTCTCCTCCCGATAGAACCCCGGCTGCGTGGGCGTCGTCCGCGACATTCAGTCCCCATGCGGCACCGGCGAGGGGGCGGGGGCTGCAGGGGTCAGCCGGACGCGCGTCACGGCCGCCACCGGTGCGCCATGATCGACTCACTTGGCCCGGAGCGCCAGCTGCCGGTCGTTGGGGCACACCCACGGGTTATCGCCGGCCGGCCGGTGTCCTCTCACTTGGGACGACATTGCCGCTCCTGCGGCACAGACAGCGCGTCACTCCATTGGTCAACGGGAACGTGACGTCAGAGGTGGTCATGTGACCGGGGGAGGGGTAGGGGAGTGCACTGATTGGGAGTGCCTTTGACGCCGCCGGATATCCCTCGGGCACAGAGATCAGTCCGAGACGCTGCACAATGATCCTATAGATAGAAATGTCGCACGTCAGAAGTCAGGCGCGGTAGATGGTTAGCTCCGTATTTCCTAAAGGGCATACAGAATTGTAATGGTGCCACTGACAGTGTTGACATTATCCATTATAAATGTAGTTTTGTAGTGCATTATGTTGTGTTGTTTAGGTTTAAGAATTGTTTCTAATGCTACAACATTTTCATCTGTGCCGACCGTTGAGACAAGTGCAGGTCAAATTCCTTTGAATATAATGTCAACAAAGCAATATTAAAACAAGCAGCCTTATATCCTTGCCAAGTACCATCCAGCCGCTCAGTTTTCACCGGCAGATACCGTTTGAATTTTGAAAATGTCTCGCCACAGTCTCAGACGTCACCCGTCTTTGAGTTCCACTCGCTTGAATGGCAGGCTGCCTACCATCATTATTAGAGCTATATAAAGTTCTCGCCGCTGCTCCTGTCGAAAGGTGGACCCGCCGCAGACCGTAAGCCGACCAGATCGAAGCGGCTCCGCGGCAGCTCAGCCGAGCTTCGGTGAAAGGGGATTGCTGAGCTGTGGGCCCTGGCGAGATAGACTGAGCCGCAGCGCCGGCAAGTATTGCGGCACACTCTAAGCGCCAGTGGCTATCGGTTCGCGCTGGAGTGAGAAGATGAACCTCGTATGGTCGCCGGCGTGAGGTATTGGACGACGTTGGAAGGTGATGCTTGAAAGAAGGACACGTCGCATTGTACGAAATAGACGCCTTCTCCTGGCGTTTTGAAAGCGACATCTGCATTTGCTCGTGTTTTATTACGAGCGAGCGAGCGCAGCGAGCGAAGCGAAGTCTTTTCAATATAACGGAAAAATCTCAGTATGAGCGGCCCGGCCCGGCCCGGCCCGGCCCGGCCCGGCCTGTAACGCTTTTGAGAGGCTTATATCTCAGCAACCGCTGGACCGAATGGCCTGCGGTCTTTTTTGCTGGGTAGCCCCATCCCTTCTACCCCGTAATTGACTACTTTTGATACATCTCAGTGCACTGGCGGATCCAGGGGGGGGGGGGGGCCACCGGGGCCATGGCCCCCCCAAAAGCCTGAAAGGGGGGGCCAACATATCTTTTGGCCCCCCCCCAAAACGCTTGAAGAAAAATTAATGTGAGATGGTTGCGTAGTAGATACCTACTAGAATCAGCAGCGTGATTCAATAGCGTAGAGAAAGTCAGGGGTGCGGGAACTACTTTCAGACTGGGGGGGGGGGCACACCATAATAGAGATCAACCTAGGGTCCCCCCAAATCTAGTTTCTCACCGGTTTTAGGCCACTTATTTTTCATCTCTTGGCTTTTTCAACAAAAAAAGAAAACATTTGCAAAAAGGGCGGTATTCCGTCTGAAAGTTGTGGTGGCACCGCCCCCCACTGGTGGATTCAGGGAGGGGGCCACCGGGGCCATGGCCCCCCAAAAGCCTGAAAGGGGGGCCAACATATCTTTTGGCCCCCCTCCCAAAACGCTTGAAGAAAAATTAATGTGAGAAGGTTGCGTAGTAGATACCTAAAAGTTAGAATCACCGGCGTGATTCAATAGCGTAGAGAAACTCAGGGGTGCGGGAACTACTTTCAGACTGGGGGGGGGGCACACCATAACAGAGATCAACCTAGGGTCCCCCCGAATCTAGTTTTCTCACCGGTTTTGGGCCACTTATTTTTCATCCCTTGGCTTTTTTCAACAAAAAAAGAAAACATTTGCAAAAAATGGGGTATTCCGTCTGAAAGTTGTGGGGGCACCGCCCCCACGGCCCCATGGTTGGGGGGTGGGCAAGCTGTCCCCACTGCCCCGGTTCCCGCGCCTATGGAGAAACTACCTGGTTTACTAGCTTCCTTCATAAAGTGTCGTCATGTCTTGTCGTCACCCGAGAAGGTCTTATTGCATACATATCGATTGAACTGTCAAGACAAACTTGCTCTGGCAGCCTGACCTGACATGACCCGGCAATTTTTCATTCACGGAATATGCGCAATAATTTTTTTAGGAACACTCACTGAGTTGGCGTTGAAAAGCTTGTTTTGTTTGGTAATTGTACAAGAAGCATATCAGGGACCTTTTTGTCCCTTCCCGTGAAACGGTAAAAGACTTATTTCGGTCAGAGCTCAGGCCAATCTCTAAGGGGTCAGTAAGGGGTCACTTATTTCTTAAAAGGGTCCTTACGGCATCCAAGGACCAATTCCGGCTTTTGAGTGCACCACATCAGCATTTGATGCTGCGACAGATGGTGAAATATGAATATATGTTACAGGCCGTATGAAAATTGTCCGTTTGCAAACGGCCTGGCATCAGACCGTTTGAAAACGGCCTAGTTAGTTTCGGCCTAGCGGATCCAGGGGGGCCACGGGGTCATGCCCCCAAGCCTGAAAGGGGGCAACATGTATTTTGGCCCCCAAAAACACTTAAGAAATATGAATGTGAGAAAGTAGCGTAGTAGGTAGAAACTACCGTATCATTAAAAATATGTGAGCTTGAGTGTTGGTCTCGTCTTCACCCAAGAAGTTCTTATTGCATACTTTACCTCTCGATCGACGCGTGAAGTTATCGTGTAAGTTATCATGAATCCGATCGCGACGAAACTTTAGCACCCTCATGTTGACAAAGTCTGAAAATTTCATGACCCTGACCCAAGTGACCTTTGACCTGTGGCCTATTTCTCGAGACTATCCGTGCGTTCGGAGAGCATGGAATATTCACCGTCCCCTGGAATATTCCCCGTGCCGCGTTCGGAGGCGTATCTCTCTGAACGGCCAATCTCAGGGAATGTTCCGCGCGCATGGAGTATTCCACGGATTCCACGTGGAATGTGCCTCTCCGAACGCACCATATGTTTGGCCATGTTTGAGGCCATGTTTGGCCGGAATCGCGATTCCGCGTATGTCGGCTCACATTATCCGCTCGTTTACAGTCTTTTCGTGGTTTAAAACGCTCAAACATGTGAAATGATGTTGGTCCCAACCATTGTGGTAGGTGTCAATGTCACCTTAGGGTCAAGTCAGGTCATTGACCTTTGATGACCTCGGTGCACTTTTCCGAGTTAAACATGTTTCTAGGATAGTTTCGTTTAGCTGATTTTGAATTTAGCATTTAGCAACCATTTGAACATTTACGAAGTAGTTTTGATGCCTTCGTATCATGTTACGTAGCTGCCAGTGGTAGTCGGACACCTGCTACACGGACGCCCATAAGTACTGGTTGACCTGGTTGACCTGACCTGGCCTGCCCCGACATGGCCTAAAGGCATGAAGACATCATCTATGATCCAAACTAATGCATGACATTCGTGATCAGCACAAAAAATCTATTACAGCCTTACTTTAGGAGGTTCTGATAGGCCCTGATTTTCCCGTCTTTTGGGTCTGTGACCTGACCTGGGCGGTGTTTCACGGCACGCTGCCAGCGCTGTTGGCACTTTTGGTTTCTATGGAGACATCAACTAGCCTATACCTACAACACTACCGAAGGTTGACCTTAGCTCGCGGAATGCGCTGGCAGCGGCTGGCAGCGCGATCGTGAAACACCGCCCTGGAAGGTCAACCAATGACCAAGGAACTTAAAATCGGGTATCATCGGCTTCCTCTCGTCACTCACAGGCAACACACTCGTTTTTTCCGCGAGCTCTAGCTTGATCAGGGGCCGAACGGCAGAGAGGTTCAACCGACACCTCCCAGCCCGCGAAGGCTGCGCCAAGCACCGACCCGGAGCGGTGGTCGACAAAAGCAATTTGAAGTGTTTTCAAAGTAATATTAAGGCACGGGTTGAGTGGGCTACCATTTCTCTCTCTATTTTTTTTTAGTTTAAAAAAATTATCGTTTCAGGGCTGTGACGAAAAATAAGTGGCCTAAATCCGATGAGAAAACAGGATTTGGGGGTACCCTAGGTTTGGCTCCTTGCACGAGTTGGCCCCCCCCCAAAACGCAAGTCTGGATCCGCCAGTGTCTCAGTGACCGCCGTGGCACGTGCCACGTGAAAAGTCAAGGGTGTTCAAGCAGTTTTGCAAAAGTAATGATTTTGAGAGGCTCATATCTCAGCAGCGGCTTGAGCGATTGTCTTGCGGTCATTTTTATAGGGTAGCTGCATCCCTTCTACCAAAGGTCGGATACTCCTGATCTATGTGAGTGACCCCCACTGCACGTGCAAAATACAACAATAAGAGGTGCCAAATTTGTTCCCATTTCAGTAACTCGGTAATTAATGGGGCGATTTCGCTGAAACTTGGCATACAGGTAGGCACCCACCAGGCAATGCATTCCCATGTGTTGCGGTTAGGGTGCTACTGCACGTGCGCACGTGCAGGGGGCGTTTCCAGATCTCGAGAACGGCTGGGCCGATTGCGCTCAAATTTGGTACACGGTTGGGGACCGGTTAGTAGGGTGCCGTGCAAAAGTCATTTTGGACCCCGTTTGCACGTGCGCACGTGCAGAATGCCGTTTCCAGATCTCAGGAACGGCTGGGCCGATTGCGTTCAAATTTGGTACACCGCTAGCGACCGGTTAGAAGGGTGCTTTGCACAAGCCCGTTGGAAGTACCCTCTCGCCCTTCTGCACGTGCAGGGCTCACTATCTCGCTCGCTCGTTCTTCGCCCAAAAGGCGTTTTACTGGTATTGTAACATTGCATTTTGCGTGCTTATTTAATAAAAAGGGAATATGTGAGCTTCTAATCTGCGCAAATCCACACACATAATGATATGATTCAAACAGTGTTCCATGTCCTGTCACAAATGACATCTAATCCGTCTAACTTACATTCCACGACATCCTATTCAGCTTTCTCTATTTGCTCTGTCGACAGTGTGACGGGGAACCGGGAATCGACCCATAAAGTTAGC